TTTTGAAGCAGGGTTGTAATTGGAAGATTGGTAATGGTCTCTTAACCCTGGCAGGTTCAGCCAGGTGGGTCAATGGCTGTGTTCCGGAGTTCAAACCAGGAATTCCTTTGTCTTCCTCTGCTGCGCAAACGGTTAGTTTTTTTATTCATCCTCAGACAAGGTTGTGGGACACTGCTAAAGTAGTTGACTGGTTTGTTCCACCTGCCGTCGCTACAATTCTCGCAATGGAGGAACCGGATACGACTCAGGCAGATTTTCGTTTCTGGGCTAGCACTCAATCTAGAACGTACTCGGTGAAAACAGGTTACGCAATACTTCAACAACAACTTTCTCCCGTTCCCACTCCTTCCAGTCTTGATTCATTCTGGAAAGTGTTGTGGTCTCTTCAGATACAACCAAAATGGAAGTTGTTCTTATGGAAAATGCTACACCAGGCTCTTGCAGTTAAGGTTCAGCTCCTTCACATAGGTGTTCCGATTCAAGATGTGTTATGTGACCTCTGTCGTTCAGAACCAGAGGATATGCAACATCTTTTCAGAATGTGCACTACGGCACGTTTAGTTTGGAGGGGTGGATGCCTTGGTATCCGCTCAGAATTTAATGGAGACCTTTCTCTCTCAGATTGGATCCTAGATTATATCCGACTTTTTATTAGTCAGGATGGGCCTTCAAGTACTCGCTTAGGTACCTTTGTCGGTAATCTTTGGAGTTTGTGGCTATGTCGGAATTCCAAAGTCTTTAAGGATTCGTCTGTGTTACGACCGTTTGACTCACAGTTCGCCGACGTCACGGAATCGCATTCAGTTTTTGTAGCTTCGGATGCCTTTGTTGTTTCCCTAAATGATGTGTCCCCTCTTCCGCCGGGGTTTTTTGTAGCTCAGCTTGGTCTGAATTCTCAGGGGACTGCTTTACTGTCTATGCAAATAGATGGGTCCTGGTTCAAAGATTCTCAACAAGCAGGTATGGGGTGGTGCTTGGATAATGAAGACCCGTTGGATGATCGTATCATTGGTGGTAGTAATTTCGGGGTCTGTTCATCAGCGCTACATGCGGAGGCTCTGTCTTGCTTGTATGGGTTACAGTGGGCTTTTGATAGTGGGTATCATTCACTCACAGTGTTTACTGACTCTTGTAATCTTGTGTCCCTCCTAAGGGGGGAAGGCCAGGGTAACATAGCATACCTTTGGCTCATCCGTAAGATTCAGCATCTTGGCTCAACCTTTCAGTTATGTAGTGTTCATAAGGCGGATCGCCAGCGCGTTCAACGAGCTCATCTTATTGCCGGAGAAGCAGCGATCAACTTTATAAGCTTTAGTATTAATATGTAACCTGTTTGTATCCTTTGTCAAAAAAAAAAAAAAAAGTAATTACCTTAATTATTTTTAATCTATTAAACTCTACTATTTTATCATTCACATATTTTGAATCAACAAAATTCACTATTTTTCTTTTTTTTTTAAACAAAATTTACTACTCCCTCCGTCCCCGATTGATAGTCACTTTTGCCATTTTTGGTGACTCAATATGTTAGTCACATTTGCTTTTTTCAAGTACTATTGATATTATTTTTTTTACCAAAATTCTCTAACATTTGCAAACATATTTGTGTAAATTTAAATTTTCCATGTAAATTTTACTTTCCTATATACTTTAATTACTTTCTCTCTCTACTTTTTGCATACCCAATGTAAATTTACTTTTTCAATGTACTTTCTTTAACTCTCCTTAGTTCCCGTGATTTTTCTTCAAAAGTGGCTATCAATCAGGGACGGAGGGTAGGGATGACAATTCTAAATGGATATCCGTAAATCCGATCCACCCGATATAAATAAATGGACGAAAATCCACGTTAAACGGATGAAGGGCGGGTGACGGATGAAGCGGGTAACGGATCGTATCGGATTCGGGTGGGGCTCCGTTTCATCCGTCACCCGATCCGTCATCCATTTATCACCCGAATCCACCCGAATATATATATAAATAAATTTTTTTCAGAAATTTTTAAAATCTTATATTCTATAATCTATACAATGTTTATATATTTCAGATTATTTTTAAGATTATCAATTTTTATTTTAAAAAAATATAAAGGTTCCCCCTAATTTTAAAAACCCTAACCCAAAATCCCAAATGCTCACTGTGTCTTAACGCCACCCTCTCCATCCCTCTTACTAAAACTCACTCTCATTCAGTCCCTCACAATCTCTCCTCTCTGAAACTCCACTGAAACTCACTGATACTCCATTAAAACCATATACCTCCACATTCCTCCGTCCTCACCGGTGAGTTTGGGACACTCCTCACTGGCAAGTGGCGCCACTCCTCATCACCTCCCTCTAATTTCTTTTACTTAAGATAATTTTGTAATAAACCCTGTCTTTGTTCAAATTTCTGAGTTTTCTTTATCCTATTTTAAATTCAAAAAAGGGAAAAGGTTAGGAACTTAGGATGTAAGTTTTGTTGGCTAAAGAATAATGTTAGGATTATATGATGAAATATGTTTTGTTCATGATTTTGTATTCTAATTATTGTTGTAATTATGATTTTTTTTAACCGGTTTAATTATGATTTTCAATTGTGATTATTAGTGCTATAATATTTGATAATTATGATTTTTATTAAACATTGTAATTATCACCCGTTAAGCATCCGATCCACCCGTTTCACCCGTGGTTGACGGATGAATCGGATGCGGGTGATGAGTTTTGCGGGTGACGGGTGGATCGGGTAGAGCGGATGGTAAATTCGGGTGGATGCGGGTGAAGCTCCATCCGACCCGAATTCGATCCGTTGCCATTCCTAACGGAGGGAGTATGTTTCTTACGAGTATTATATATTACTCCCTCCATTTCATAATATTAGTCTCATATGGAATCAATCGTATAAAATAAGAAAAGAAATATATTTGAAATCTAATATTAAAATACAACAAAATTCATAATTAGTTTACCTTATTTAACTTTTTAAATTTTTTATTAGAAAAGTACAAGTCATAATTGCATAATTTAAGGTAAAAAAAATTTCTTACTTAGAGTCATATCATTAATACACAACCAATAAATTAAAAAAAAATCAAGTTATAAATGAAATATATTCAATATGGATAAATCTTTTTGAAACGCCTAAAATAGTATATGGGACTAACATTATGAAGCGGTGGGAGTAACATTTCATCAATCAAACTCTACTATCTTACTTTATATATCTGGAAAATTTAACAGGAATAATCCAACCTTTTACCCATTCTCCCAAAATAATTCAACATTTTGATTAACCCTGAATAATCCCAACTTTGCATATTATTCTCCCACACTACCCCTAGCAAGTCACCCAACCCCTTACAACCGGTTGCCATGCCACGTGACACTTTTTTATTGTTTTATTTAAAAAAAAAAAAAACTTCATAAAAAAATATATTTTAAAAAACTTTTAAAAAATCCTTCAATTTATGACAGCCACCTCCCCTACCTTGACTTCCTCCATTATCACCATCATCCACCAATCACAAACCTCCGGCCACTAGCACAAACCTTAAGCCACCACGTAGCACTACCACCCACACCCGCCACATACCCACACCCATTTTATTTTCCTTTCCTTCTTCGCCTAGAAACAACAACCACCGCGGCTCCGCCGCCATAACCATTGTCTACCCAGCCGCCGATGCCATGTCCACCCAAGCCCCACCGCCCAGTCAACCCACCACATACCATGCTTTGTTTCTCCTCTTCCTCTTTCCCGTATTTCTTTCTCTCTCCCCCGCTTAGCCACCGTACCACCACCACCCCAGAATCACCACCCTTGCACCTGCCTCCTCTTCGAAACCCCAAACACACCACAGATCACCACCACCATAACTAATACCTCACCCATACCACCCTCACCCACCACGTACCCACACCACCCTAACCCATCACGAATCACCACCACCATCACTAAAACCCCCACCCATACCACTTTCACCCACCACACAATCAACCACTTTCCCGCCACCACCGCGAAAAATTTGAACCATGACCCACAAATTAAATTTTCAATTATGAATTTTTTGATCAAATTTAACCATAAAAACGATAAGAGAGATGGAGAATGAAGAAGGAAGGGGAAGAAGGAAGGAGGTAGGAAAGGGAAGAAGGGGGAAGGAGATTTGAAGTTTTTTATTTATTTATTATCTTTTTTATGTTAATTTAATATATATGTAATTATAAAAAAAAAAATTACCGGTTGAATAAGTTGCCGGTCAAATAGGTTCGGTATGGGAGAATAATATGCAAAGGTGAGATTATTCAGAGTTAATCAAAAGATTGGATTATTTTAGGAGAATGGATGAAAGGTCGGATTATTCATGTTAAATTTTCCTATAAATCTAGCTAGTTGCAAAATGTTTGTAAAAGATAGAGGATTGTAATCAATTAAATATATACAGTATAGTTCATTATGTTCATGTAATTTCTGGTTCATTTATTTTTTTGACAGAATCAAATTACAACCAGAAAGGTGTAATTAAACAAGTGAACAAATTTTCCTACTAAAAAAACAACTGAACAAATGAATTAAAAAATCCCATAAAATATGGAAAAGGGTAACAACTTGGGATCTTTCCGCGCTGCAAAACGGCCTCCTACTTGCTTTCATATTTTGACTTCAATTGAAAAGGTTTTGAATTATGCATGTCTATTTTTTGCCCCTTTTTTCAGGGATTCTGTGCAAGTCTGTTTCAAAGCATGACCAAATAATATGGATGTTTCCTAAATTAATGATTTTTGCTGTTACAATTGAAGGAATTGTATATAAGAATTTTAACTTGAAGTGAACAAGTTCTAAGATTGAAACGGGCGTGGGTTGTCCACACCTCCGTTCCAACCTGCTTCCTCGAGACAATACGTGTGCATAATGCACGCGTCACTAATCTCAAATGCACCATAAAATGGTAGAGATGTCATGGACTCGCTTGTTTTTCTGTTGGCCTTTTGTTGTTTTTTTTTAATGTTTCTGTTGGGGTTGGTTGTGTTACATTCCCGCTATATTTTGTACTAAAAGCTAACAATTGCACCTCAAAATCTGGAAACAAGAAGAAAGTAGAAGACAAATTGTAATCCACTTTGGTTTAAACTAACATCAACTTTTTCTTCTTTATACAGAAAATATGGCATGGCCCAGGAAATGAACAAGATTAAGAAAAATTAATAAATGAAAATTATTAACCCACTAAACGAGACACGTAATTAAGCTAAGTAGCTAATTAACAAATACAATGACCAAGTTCTAGTCGAAAATGTTGAATGTATAACCTTTTTTTACTTAACTCAAGTTGCTCAACCTAGGACTAGAGGATGAGTAAAGCAATGAGGATGCAGAAAAGCTTGTGTTATTGCTTTCTGGGTAGAAGTTTTCTACATCAGTTAACCTTGATGTTGATGTTCCGACTCTTAATTCGCTTGTTCGAGGGCTCTTATTTCCTTGATCATTTCTTGTTGTAGGTGATCCCTTAAGCAACATATCAACTTTAGCATGTTCTTCCTTTTCATCCTTTATCTCCTTGAGCATTGCAGCCACGTCTTTCATTGTCGGTCTCTCATCCGGTGAGGAGTTTACACATAGTAACGCGATACCTAATGCTTGCACCATCTCTTCAATCTCGGTTTCAGGTCTAGACAATAAGCTCGGATCAAGGACTTCAATCCCTCCCCTCTTCTGCCTCACCCAATCTACAACGTGCATCCCTCCGGGGATTGTGGGATCCACGGGCTGCTTTCCTGTTAGAACTTCCAACATTACTACTCCGTAGCTATACACATCACTCTTCTCCGTTATTTTCATCATGAAACCATATTCTGCAACAAGTAAAATCAGCATTTAGAATTCATCAACCTTTAAATAGAACAAATTGTAGGATATGAAAATGTCATAATTATACTTACCAGGAGCTATATATCCGTAAGAGCCAGCAACTGTGTTGGAGGAACGATTGAAATCGCCATCATCAACAAGTTTTGCTAAGCCAAAATCTGCAATATAAGGCTCAAACTCAAGGCCAATGAGGATATTGTTTGCCTTGATGTCTCGATGAAATATCGGTGGAGTACAATCATGATGTAAATACGCAAGACCTTGAGCACCACCAAGTAGGATTCGGTACCTAAGGCCCCATTCCAAGGCATTTCCTGAACTCTCATGCAAGAGACTCCCCAAGCTCCCATTCGGCATGTAATCATACATAAGCAACCTTGTATTTCGGTTCCAACAGCACCCTAGGAATCGGACAATGTTCTTGTGGCGAATTGACCCAAGGGTCTTAACCTCAGCAGAGAATGAGTCTCGTACACCACCCTTTTCCTCCTCACCCTTTGATGCAGGGCTTGCAGTTGGCCAAAGCTTTTTTACAGCAATGACCTCGCCATTAGCCATATCAGCTCGATAAACCATTCCTGAACAACCTTTACCAATGATATTTGAATCCACGAGACATTTAAGCACTTGATCAACTGAGAAATTAAGCTTCTGGAAAGGAGTGAAATGCCAAGGCCATGAATCACCCAACTCTGAATCCTGCTCATCTTTCACAGTTTTTCGTGCTCGAAGCATAGCGACAACCCCCATTATAACCATTGCAATTGTCAGGATAATAAGGAAAGCAATGGATATTTTGAGAATCCTAGCTTTTTTTACATCATCCTTGGAACCTGATGCATTGAGGTGGCTCGAGAAGCACGAGTCTTTTCCAACAGAACACAGCTCTTCATTTCCCTCCAAAGATTCTGAAGGAAGCTGCCGGAAGAGCTTGTTATCAGGGAGGAAACCACTGAAGTTGTTGTACGAAATATTAAGGGAAACAAGGTTATCGAGCCCAACAAGTGGACTTAAAACTCCACTGAGCTTGTTATGTGAAAGGTCTAATATTGAGAGCTTGTTTAATGATGATAGCTGAGATGGGATTGGACCAGAAAGCATGTTTTTACTCAGATTGAGAGCGATTCCAAGAGACTCAATATCGCACAATTCACTTGGAATCTCTCCATAAAGCTTATTGCTGCCAAGATCAAGCAACTGAAGACTCGAACATAGGCCTAAAGATGATGGAATTAATCCAGTGATCATATTTTTGTTCAAAACCAGCTTATTCAGTGACACAAGACGGCCAAAACTAGCTGGGATTTCACCCGTAAATCCATTGGATGAAACATCCAATACTTGGAGAGAAGAGAGGGATGACAATGTAGAAGGTAGCGAACCCCTCAAGTTGTTACCGCTAAGGTCTAGCATTTGCAACTCACTACAACTCCCAATCTCATCAGGAACAACTCCAGAAAAGTGGTTACTAGAGAAATCAAGGAAGTTTAACATTGTAAGACCCCCAATTTCTCGAGGGATTTCCCCAGCTATCCGGTTATGTCCAAGTCGAAGCCTAATTAATGAGGTGCAATTACCAATCTCCGGAGGGAGGGTACCAGATATCTCATTAGAAAGAAGCAGAAGTTTAGTGAGATTTTTTATCTGAAACAACCCTGGAGGAATGCTACCAGTGAGAGAGTTATGAGACAGATCAAGAGATTCGAGGTTACTACAACTAGCCAAACTCGAAGGAATGCTACCTTCAAGCTGGTTAGCCCAAGCAAAGAACACAGTCAGCTTCGAAAGTGAGCCGAGTTGTGGTGGGATCAGACCAGACATCTGATTAGTATCCAACTGTAACTGAACCAAATTACTACAGTTTGATAAAACAGCAGGAATTGAACCAGTCACATTGTTATTACTAAGCATTAATTCCTCAAGATTAGACAAACCCCCAATTGACAATGGAATCAAACCCGAAATCGAGTTCAAAGAAACATCAATACTCCTCAAACTAGTACAATTCCCAATCTCACTTGGGATAGAACCCACAAGAGAATTCTGCCAAAGTAGCAATTTCTCAAGCTTTTTCAACTTCCCAATTTCAGGTGGGACTGACCCAGATAAACTATTCTCATACAAATAAATATTAACAAGCTCAGAACAATTACCCAAATCAGCAGGAATTACACCAGAAATAGAAGTTGTATAAATAGAAAGTGTTTCAAGCTTTGAAAGCTTACCCAAATTAGAAGGTAATGACCCAGAAATTCCAGTATCAGCAAGACCAAGAACAGTAAGATTACTCAAATCACCAAAATTTTCAGGAATTTTACCTTCAATGTCTTTATTACCCCCAATTCTCATCACCTCAAGACTGCTAATTTCCCCTAATTCAGAGGGTAAAATACCTCCAATCTGATTATCAAACAACAACAAATTCTTCAAACTCGAGCAATTACCAAGTTGAGGTGGGATTGGCCCAGTAAGTTGATTTGAGTTCAAGATTAAATCTTGCAGATTTTCAAGCATTCCAACAGAATCTGGGATTGACCCAGATAATGAATTTGAACTAACATCAATGGAGATTAAAGAAGAAATCTTTCCAACCTCATTTGGAATAGACCCAGTTAAATTACACCCAGAAATAGTAAGTTTTTGCAAAGATTTAAAAGAGGAAAGATTAGAAGGAAAAGGAAGTTGAAGAGGAAGTGACTGAATATTAATTTCAGTAACAAAGTTTTGTGATGAACATTTTATTGAACTCCATTTGCACGGAGTGGGGTCAACAATATTCCAATGAGATAACTCCACTGGCAGCGGTTGGTCGCCACCGTGGAGCCATGAATATAATACGGCGGCTTCATTAGAAGCCGCCACGGCGGTGGCAATGGAAGGAGATATACATAGAAGATGTAAATGAAACAGGCAAAAGAGAAAATGAAATGAGAATGAAAAATGGAGGTGTTTTTGGCTTGAATTAAACATTATAGTTAAAAACATTTGCCTCAAATTCCAAACTTTTTCTTCATTGGGTTGTGTTTAGCTTAAAAAAATTTAATCTTTGGGTTTCTAATTTTCTTTCCTCTGTTTCTGTGTTTTGTGTGTCTTGCTTGGTATGAACTCAAAAACCTCAAAAACCCAACCAAAAACAGAGTAGAAACAAATTTTTGTAAGAAAGAATTGAAATTAAAATAAAAATTAACAAAAGGAAATAAAAAAGAAAAAGAAAAACAAGTGGGTGAAGGAAGGAATACCTAGAAATTAGCAAGGTTTGCACATTGAATGCCTCTGTTTCTGTGAAATGGGAGTGGGGAAGTGTATATTTTAAAGCAGAGGAAGTGAAGGCAGGGAAGAAGACAACTACATTTGTTTTTTCAGTTTTTTTAATTTTAAATTATTACAGTAATATTTTTTTATTTAATTTTGAATTTAATTAAATAATTATATCAGGACATAGAGATGACGTTAAAGTCATTAATAAATTTTATTAGTAGTAGTGTAGTTGGAATTGGCTCGTTATTCAATTCTATGGTTTTTTTTACGTCATCTTTCTTAAATTTTGAATTTTACACAAAATTTATATTTACAAAATTCTACAGTACGTAAATTCTGTCACAAAATTATATTTCTTGTTTTCCTTTTTTCATACTACCTGTTATAACAACTTGTCAGCTTAGCAAGAGAGCTTCCACAAAAAAAAAAAATAAAAAAAAAAAAATAAAAAAAAAACCTAGCAAGAGAACTTCCAATAAGAGGAAAAAAAACCTTGCAAGAGAGCTTAAATGACTTTTTGATTTTTTTTTTCTTATGAGTTTTTTTTTTTTTTTTTTTTTAAGCGAGCAAGCCTACTGCGTAATTGTGTAAATGTACGGAACATCAAATTATTGGTGTAAGTTCTTTTTCTTCTTAACCATTTGTTGATGTTATGTACTTATGTTTTAAGTTTGAGTGATAGAATTTGTCAATTTGAGGATTATAGTTTAGTATGATTTGGTCTTGAAGAAAATTTTGTGACCCAAATTTGAAAATTTTAGTACGGATTACATTTGTTTGATTAAATGATATTACGTGAAATTTAAAGTAAAATAAAACTTCAACTATAAAAACTGTTAATTTTACTCTGCAATAATGATTTTTTGCTGAATTTATTTATACATCATTTGAATGGTACTGTTTAAGAAATTTGGTTATGAATGACTATTTTTAAAAATTTTGTAATTTTCCAACATATGTTGCACTTGTATATATCTTGCTAACCTAATCCAACCTAATCACTTAGGAATAACTTCTTCTAAACAATTAAGTAAAATTAAACAATTATTTTCTCATGTTTTGATGATAAGATATAATGGGTTTGTGAATTTATTATTATAACTTACCGTCATGTAATTAAATTCTCATCAGGTCCGGCCCGAAGGGGTAGGCCTCGAGTGCGACCGCTAGGGCCCACGTCAGAAAGGGGCCCAAAATAAAAAAAAAATTCAATTTGCATAGTTGTAGAATTTTACTCTATAGTTTTAAAAAAAGCTACTTTTTAAAAAGATAATTACTGCATTTAGTTAGCAATTAACATTAAATTACTTAGATGTCAATTAGGTGGAGATAACAATGCAATTTAACCTCTTCACTTCTTCTAATCTTCCGGTTTTTATGAGCACCTGTTTCAAAATATTAATCTTTTCAATTACATCGTTTCATATTTATTCAATTAACGAAATATTATGCAAAGTTATTACTCCAGTATTGTGTATGGAGACTTATTATTCAAATAATATAAGCTATTTTCATTGTTTTATACTCCGTATTTAAAACTATTTTCATTGTCTTATATTTAAGGAAATTGCTATACATAGCCTTTAGGGATACATATAAGCATTAAAAATACTCTTGAAAACTGTTTAAATTTAGAAAATCATGACAAATTCACACTAATTACACTGATATACAAGTGTTTTTTTTTATCATGAATTCCTAATTTTATACAATTTTCAAGAGTGTTTTTAATGCTTATATATAGCCCTAAGGGCTATGTATAGCATTACCCTTATTTAAAACTATTGCGTGTAAAAATTTTTGTTTACGTAAGAGGCCCTTTTCTTACATTATGCCTAGGGCCTATTAATTTCCAGGAACGGGGCTGATTCTCATAGTTGGTTTTGGAGCTTAGGTTTCCTTTCTTCCTTCCCTTCCCTCCCCTCCCCATTGAGTATATGGGAGACTAGGATGATATCAAGCCACCATCAAAGTTATTATAACATTTGATTTCGAGTTGATCAATCTTTTTGAGCTCAAATATTATTATTTGATTTATTATTCAGTACACAAAAATAAATTTCACTCACAAGTGAGTAAGTTACGGCCTTAGTAAATTCGGACTTATGCAATTTAAATTTTTTTTAACAAAGCAAATAGGTTTAGATATAAAATTTACTTGTTTTATAGACTTATAGTATACATCTCAAAATTAAAACCGCCGCTTTATATCTGAGACCTGAAAGAGTTGTAAACCCTTATTATGGTACAACCAATGTAATACATACATATCGTACTTGTTATTAAACCATCGTAATACTCCATACATCTATTAATGCTTATACGCAACTTTGAAAATTTTTATATCTCATAAATAATATCCCAAAGTTGCAGATAACCATTAACGGAGTTATTACAATGGTTTAATAACAAGCATGGTATGTATTACATTGGTTGTATTCAGAGGATAATATTATCATAGTTATAATATCTATCAATACTGATGTATACTTGTATTATCAACTTATCAGGTAAAAAAATAATAAATAAAAAAAATATATAGGTAAACACTACTAATGATTGTGCATGTTGCATGTGTATGGCTTTCAAATTATACCAAAAATTTCTGTTCTTCAGACTACACTGAAGATTGAAGAAGATAATCTTTATAAGGCTACAAAAAAAATGATGAAGGATTGAAAAATCCGCTAACTTGTGTTAATCACAAAATACTTCATGCCTCCAACAAGCGTGATATACAAGTATATATATATACATAAACGTACATTAAGTATTAGTAAATATAGTAATGCTACATTATGTATTAATCGCGTGATATTCGATGCATAACTAAGGTTAATAGAGCATACATTATGTCCTAAAATGTTTTTCAACTGACAGAGCACAAGAGCATCCATTGAAGTTAGCAAATTTGTACGAGATCCAATGTTATTTCTGCATATACTTTTTCTTAACTCTAACTATTCTACTGCTACTGCTACTGCTACAACATTATTATTATAATTAAGTATTAATATAAGGTTTAAGTTAACTACTAGTTATGCTACACACCTACTTAAGAAAAAAAGGAAAAGAGAAAAGAAATAGAGAGTTGTAATGAGTTAGTCACACTACTTCTGAATACTTTGAAAAGGAATCAAAATGAGCTGCAAATTTCGTATTGTTTTTCATTTTCTATGCATAATACACCTTTTGTTCCTACCTAACCTCGTCTTAGTGTAATAGTCTATCGTGGCAAATATATATATTATGGTACAAAACCCTAAGTTAAGTTGAGTTTAAAAATAATTAAAACCAAAAAGAGAAAAATAAAAAGTAAAGTTTTTTTAATTAATATTTATCTCCATTTTTCTATTTTATCACATTAGTGAATTGTCAATATTGCCGTATATGTTCACATAGCACTATACTATGTGTTTGTGTTTATAGAGAAGGTAATAGAGTAGCAGACTATATTGCTTTGCTAGGCTATTTTATGCAAGCTCGCCAAGATAATATTTAAGCTATTTTATTTATTCTGATAAGTTAGGGTATAATATTGATAGGAGACTATCCTAACTTCTTGTTTTCCTTAAAAAAAAAAAATCCTTGTTTTCCTTTCCTTATAATAAAAATAAAATTTAAATTTTAAAAAAGGCTCTACTCTCTCCATTTTGTACCGATCATAACACATCACATTATAGGGTAAGGACCAAACAAAATTTTATAACATAAAGTACATAGTTAGACTCAGTTCTTTTGAGCTTCTGGGCAATCAGCGCATATTTCAATAGATTAGTGCAAGTTTTAGCAGAGCAAAGCAAATTGAATCAGCAGATTTCAGAAGAGTAAAGTAGAGCAGAACATAGCAAAGTAGAGCAGGACCTTTTTGAGGAATGAGGAATGAGGAATGAGGAATGAGGATGCATAATAATAATAATAATAATAATAATAATAATAATAATAATAATAGGTTGCTAAGCTCGATGATCCCCAGTGTGAGCTGTTGTTGCTTAGGGCAGTATCGGAGTTTTTAAACTCTACTTTGCTTTGCGTACTTGTCCTCCTAGTACTTTTGAGGTAGCTCAGCGCACTTTCGACGAGGCTCTTTGTTCTTCCTTCGAGCGTATCGTTACCGCTTCGAGGCCTGGGTTTGGCGATTGGCAGTGGCAGCTTGCCACCTTACCATTTGCGTTTGACGGACTTGGTGTTTATTCCGCAGGTGATGTTCGTCATTATGCTTTTCTTGCATCTCGGTTACAGTCTGCTGGTGTAGACACCCATTTGTGTCTCCCCAAAACCAAACTCAGTGATGAATATCTTTTGCGTCAAATCATAATCGAATGAAGTGAAAGTGTGAAAAGTCTAATGTTGCGTTTAGTTTTTATTACAAATCTTTCTTTCTGTTTTCAAAAACCTGCTTTATTTTATGAAAATATCCAGTCCAGTTTAGTTTGGTCCATGAAAAGAATGGTGTAGTTGGATAGGGCTCAAAAAGTGCTTTCTAACGATATATTATAAGCCCAATTCCGATGAATTATGAGGAAGTTATGACAAAAATACTAAACTGGGCTCGATTTGGTTCTTACATACGACCCAATGATCTAGAGGAGGGCCTATTATTAATTATCATACCTAAAGCTACTAGGATTGATTATAGTCTTCTAGAATACTCTAGAAGGTTCTCTTCATTCCTAATGGAGTTAGGATTAATAATTATGTTTCAAAGAGTTTAAAATTGAACAAAACTACTCCTTTTGAGAATCCTTGTTTTGTACGAAATGGAATATATTCAAATATTATTTTTGTGCCTCATAATCTTTATCCAAATTTTATATGGTTGGATAGATCTTGAAATTATTTTTCCGATGATATATTATAATATGAATTTCGAGCTATAAATAAAAAGATATGAAAGGAATACGAAACTCTATCCAAAACTGACATCCTTCCACTATTTCGACCATATCATTTTATCTACAAAATATTTTAATCGGATTCTAATTGGGTTGGAAATTAAACTTCAAGATCTTTCCAACGACATATTATATGACTTATTTGAACTTCTGGATCAAAAGATATGATAAAAACAAAATCCGTAAAAACTGTCTTAGCACCGCCTGACGACAAGTTCGTCGCCTGGGGCTGCAGTGCAGCGCCTGGCGATGCACTTCATCGCCTGGCGACAAGATCTGTCACAGGAGACAAGATGAGTTTTATTCCGACTCGAATTCTAACTCTTTTCTATTGGTTTTCGGACTATTTTCTTATAAATAGGGTCCCTGGACCTCCGTTTTCAATCATCAACTCTCATCAAGAATTTCTTGATTTTCTCTCTCTCTCTCTTTCTAAACCAACCCCTTTACAAACACAATTCTGCATTCGCAAGATCTAGACACACCTAGCCAAGTTTGAATATGCTTTCGCCCTAGACGTGAAAGGTTGATAATTTCTGAGGGTTTGGTCCCAAATCTCTTTTTCAATTATTTAATTTAATTGGTTTGTTTTGATATTTTCCTTGAAGTTACTAACGTGTGTATTTTGTTATTAAAAAGAGCTACGAGGCATCGAAGTAAGTAATTTAATTGTTTTATTGATATTTTGATATAGAAATCGTGTTTAGATTGTGTTATTAATTCCTAATATCATGTTAGGATATTATTTATTGCTTTCTAGTATCATGTTTAGGGTGCTTACTCTTTCTAATAGCATGTTAGTCGAGAAATTCGCAAAATTCTTTTTCGACGCTTCTAAAAAGCGTCGAAAAAACGTGAGTCGAAAATTTTGCTAGGTACAAAAAAGCGTCGCGAATTTTGACGCTTTATTGTGTCCAAATTTTTATACGAAGCATCGCAATATGCCCAATTGGTGCACTTTCTTAACTTTGGCGACGCTTTTTCACGTCAAGAATCTAAAAATTGGTGAATCTTTTCTATGTCCAAGTTTTCATACATTTGCTATTTAACATTTTGACAACGCTTTTTCCTGTCCATATTTTCTAATTTGGGACGCTTTTTCTTGTCCAATTTTTTTTTAATAAAATGTCTAGAATACCAAAATAAAATATTTTATTCACTAATAATTATTTCTAATATATTAATATTACAAACAAAAAAAAATACATATACAACAAATTTATGCCAAATTTTTTTATTACATATAAATATATTATAGCATATGTACAATATCTCATTGTAATGGGTTTTCTATTACAAGTACAATTCCAACTTATGCTTTATTCATGACTAGTTGTAGTGGAACAAATTCGGAATCACTAATTGAAATCTTTAAATAGCACAATTCTCTCATGTCCCAGCTGCTTTGCTGCTTTGCCATCTGCACACCCATTCTAGCCGCTGCCACCTCAGCTTGTTCAACACCCCACCGAGCCTTCAACCTTTTAACAGCCGCAGCCACAGCGCACCCTGCATCGTCCCTTAACACGACGCCCAACCCAATCTGGTTTCCTGCAGCCATATTAGCATCAGGATTTATTCTGATCGCACCTGAAGATGACAGCCTCCAATCACAAAAAACAAATTAAATACCAAAAACAAATTATTAGAGGTGGACCAACTTTGATAGCATCTACTTTAAGTGGAAAGAATTAAATAAGAGGCAAACCTTCCAACATGATGAGAATATATATGGTGCATTAACGATGTAATAAGTATCAGTGTTCTCTGGATAGTTCAAGTCATCGATAGTTGTTATTACAGTCAGCAGCTGCAAATGAACATAAGCAATAAAATTATGACCAATCTATCCATCAAATATCATCTTAACTAACTCACCTTTTTGCCTTTAGATTGTCTAATATAATCAATCCCATTAAGCCAATGACTATGAAATCCATCCGCAGTCATCTCAGCTCGAGAATAAAACTGATACCCCACATCAATTCCTGTACATTCCACAAACAACAGAATCCAGTTAGTTTCAGGATTGAGATAATAAGAAATTCATTTTGCTCGGGTTACAATGCAAGCACCAACCAGGAAGAGAACCAATTGTCTTCTCAGGACACAATATTTCATTCTTCCCCCTCATCTGTCACCAAAACATTATAAACAAGTCAACAGTGAATGTAAGTACAACTAGTAATGATTTCACAGCAGGAAGAGTCTAGAAAATGCATGGACAACAATCATATGTGCTTCACAACAACAGCACCACAATATATTTTGCAATGTATGAGTGATAAAGCAGAAGGTAGTTTACCTCTTTTGAGTAGCCTGAAAGTCCTACAAGCTGAGAGTCACGCACTTTTCAATACAGATCCGCAGGAACTATTGGTTTCTAGGCAAATGAAATTACTAGATTAGAATGTTAGATCATTCATACATACAGGCTCCTCATGATAATCCACCCCACATATAAAGACTCAAACCTCCTAAAAGACAGTATTGAATAGTGAATTAGTGATACAAAAGAGAAATTTTAAGAAATCACACAAAAAAAAAAAAAAAAATTGAAAGAAGAGAGAAGGAAGTCAAGAGACATGCAAATCCAATAGTAAATTCAGAGCAAGAGATCGATTTTAACCTTATTAATTAATATTTAAATTTAGATATCCATTTTCAAATACTAGATTTGAATAGTTGGACTTTGATTCAAAAAAAAAAATGAGTTTAGGGTTAATAACAAACCTAATTTCATGTAAAGAAAGCGAATACTGAAAGAGATGAAGCAAATCAAGAATAAAAAACTACCAATCTGCACCAACTCAGCCGATTAAACACTATCTAAACCCAAAATCATACAGATGTAAACAAGAATAAACAAAAAAATCTCTAATTTTAAAAAATATACGGAGTATAAATTGAATAATAAAATCACCTAACCTTCTCCAATACCCCAGACTTCTGAAAAATCGGCAATAGAAGGTCTCGCCATGGATCTCAACTTCGTAACTCCAAGGTTTTTCACTAATCCTTCTGCACAAAATAATCGAGCAATTTGGGGATCTAAGAGTTTATTAGTAAAATCCAAGTAATGAAAAGGAGTGATCTACTTCTTAGTAGTCAGCTCTCTAAGTAGTAATCTGTGATATATAGGAAAGGAGGGAAGTAGAGAAGGGTAGGCCTTTTGATGTTTAGATTTTGGGTGGAGTTTGGTAACCTCAAGTTACCCATGAGATTGATAGCCTAAAGCTATTCATTATCATTGTAATCCTTTGACTACTTTCAATCAAACACCTCAACCTTTCCTTTAAATATTGATTCAATTATCCAAATTAATATCCAAGTTAAAACAACACATAGGTTGTCGACACCATTTAGAGTATAGTTGTTGGCTTCAACCATTAAGAATCGAGTTTCAAATAGAATGTCTCCTCCATAATTACCCATTATCTGAGTCATCCACGATAGCTTGAACCTGAATACACACATAAAACACATCCCCTTACACGCATAAAATATACAATTACTAAATCAACAAACTTTCAAGCTTTCTCTACAAGCAATAATTGAATTGAATATGAACAAATCGAGTTGTATATCTATAAAGTAAATTTGTATTGAATTAAGAAAACCGAATCTAGTAATATTGAATAGATCAACAAAAAACCAAAAAAAGAGAATTATGGAGAAAACAAACAAGAGATAAATAATATACCCAAGAGAGAGATGGTAGAGAAGAGCCTAGACAGCAGCAAAAATAAAACACTCAAACCAGTCATATCAAAGTCAGAACTTTTTATACAAAATAAGAATTATGATCATGAACTGATTCACAAACGAGCCAAGATAGACAGATATCCTTCTTTATTATCCGTTATTATAATAAAGAATCTAAATTATCACAAAATAGACTGACATTCATGATATTTCATATAGACAAGCGCTAAGACAAGGCCCTCACAAAATTGTTTCAGCAAACACCTCTAGCAAAATATCTTACGATTCAGTTGAAAAGGGAAAATCTCAGAGTTAATAACTAAATGCCCACCAGATCGAGAAAATAAAAATGGAATATCTCCTATAGTAGTTAAGTTACAAAGAACACAAAAGCAAAGGATCAGACTAATCAGCTAAACCCAGAACAATTATGAGACAACTAAAATGATAAATTTAGAGTTCTGATCTCATTCATCATCTCTCAGCTGTACAAATTACAGTCATTTGGACTACACAAAATGAGTGCAAAAATGTAACAAGTATTAGGCTGAAACAAGATAGCTAGAAACCATAGACTAATGAGACTTCGTTTGTGAATACTAATGAACTAGCAGCAGTTATAATTAAATCAATCAAATTTGTAATGTGTTCCTTCATTAATGCCCATGTATTTAATTTTGACTGCTCATTAGGCAAAGAAAATTATATAAGATCAGAAAAAAAAAAAAAAAAAAAAAAATATTAGCAATTAACAACTTATATAAAACATAACTTTAGAAACATAGATATGTAATGGACCCTAATTTGGGGTTTCCATGTTGTACAAGAGAAGGGGGAAGGTGTAGGGGCAGAATAGGCCAAGCATATCAAGTCTCCAAAAGTCTCTAGGGGATAGTAGCAGTAGCCTAAAGTTATCAACGCACCTTGTAAGCAATCTGCTGTTATATATCAATCAAAATACTCAAGCTTTATCTCTCAAACCACTTTGTTCATTGATACAAAGTATTATTAACTAAAAATCCTAGTCTATTACAAGTACAAATATTGCATCAGCTTCTGCTTCCAGTAAATTTATATCGGAATGTATAGCAAATGCACAACACACACTTTCATAAAGCATTCAATTTCCTATGTTGCTAGATGTATCAGACATCCTAATTAAGTCATCCAAAGTTCTATAATTCGTTGCAACTAAAATTAAAAAGTTCATGAACAATTGAACAATAAAATTCTATAGAATGATCAAAACAGTAACAAAAAAAGAATAATAGAACTTACCTTGTTTAAGTCGACTATAGAAATTTCCCAAAACAGAGCCAAAATATCTTGAATTGAGGAGCATAAACCCTATTTTGCTTTGAGTTGTGCGACATAAATATTTAGCAATTAAGGAACCCTAAGTTCAAAAATGAAACACAAAAATCAGTAATTCTATCAATCGTGCAAAAATTAACAAGAAAAAAGTAAAATTCACCAGATCTAGAGACTAAATGCAAGAGAATCGAGTTTAAACCCTAACTACTATATAGGCCGACGAATTGAATCGAATTTTAGTGCTTATTGGTCGAATTTGCTAGAATTTTTTGTATAAATTTTGTTGGGTATCACTGTAAATTGAAGAAATTAACAGGGAGAAGAGAGGAGAGGAAGAAATTAACAAGGATACTAACAATTAGATTAAATTTCTTTGAAATGCTGAGATCTAAGAGAGAGAGAGAGAACGAGAGAAAGGGTTTCTTATGCGTGTCAGTGTGTGGGTACAAGGCTATTTCTGCTTTTTTTTTTTTTTAAATGATCCTTATAGACCGTTTTTGGGTTGCCTTGAGTCACGTGCTGAAATTGTCGACGCTTTTTCTTGTCAAGAAGATAATTCGACACATAAAAGCGTCGAAAAAATGCGAAAATATATTTTTCCACTGACGCCCCACTCACTATGTCGAACAAATAGCGTCCAAAAACCAAGGGATTTGTAGTAGTGATATTCAAGCGCCACCACCAAATTTCTATACGCGTTTTCCCGTCCATATTGTCGACGGTGTTTTTAGTCATAAAATCAATTGAGACGCCTTTTGTTGTCCACACAAAAATAATGGCGGAAAATTTTGAAACTGATTTAAGCAAAATTTCTTGACAAGAAAAAGCGTCTAGACATTTTTTGACTGTTTTTTTATATTAGTTTAAATAAATTTTTTTTTTCAAATATAATATATGTTTATATATATATATATATATATATATATATATATATATATATATATATATATATATATATATAAAACATACATAAAAGCAACGATAAAACATATATATTGCTATCAAAATTAACAAAGAGTTGAAAATTTGAAATCTAATCCCTACTACATACTTTCACCGATGGATGTTCAAAAAAACCTATTGATGTCCAAAATATCATCATTATTGTTACATATATCAACTGCATGCCAACTAAATTAAAAAGTTAGATTAAAACCTACATAAGCTAACTACTATCTAAGTAACTTTAAACAAATGAAGGTGCATAGTAGGCTAATTTCCAGCTTCAGTAGGTTTCCTTTGTCTTTCTGTTGCATCCATAACCTTCAAAAAAAAAAAAATTAAGTATATAATATTTAATTGCTAGAAGAAATAAAGGGGTAATTGTTTATCATGAACCAACCACATCATTTTCACGACTGTAAGTACAATTACACCTACATAGACAACTACCAACAAATATAAACACTATAGTAGCCTCATAGCACAATATACAAAACCCGTACACAACCCACACTCCCACACATATGTTAGATCCTTAATTAGTCCAAACAATAGTACAACATGATCTTCCATTATATGATATCTTTCTTTAATCACGCCATCACCTGTATGCTACTAAAAAAAAGTTCTTGAATTTTATTAGAATAGATAATTACCTGTTCGTTTGTCACTCCCAAGACTGATTTTGCACAGGTTAGAAGTTCTATTGAACTCTTTCCATCATGAACTCCACCAACAATGTGAGAAAACTGTCCGTTAAGGGTTTTAAGAAGAGTATTATTCTCTTGTACTTGGTCTTTTAGCTTTTCATTTTCCTTCTCAAGTACTTCATTTTTTTTGTGCAAAACAGACATTTCTTCTTTCACATTATTATCCATTACCACAGTCCTTTGATAATTTTTTCTAGGCCCTTCCTTCTTTAGCAAAGCATGCACCCCGTAAATGTTGCTCTTTCGAACCCCAAGTCCGTAACCTGTAGGACGATCAAGGATCTCTCCACCATGCATGGTCAGCTCAAAGGCTTCATCTTCAAGTTCCCGTTGGGACTTAGAAGGGTTTGTCAATCTCAACTCTTCAACTTTAGCTTTCGCATCATTCTGCAAAAGACTTCAAATAATAATATAATATAAGAATATCATTTCCACATTAAAAAAATAAGCTTTAAAACACATTTAAAACTTTTACCACAAAATCTTCGGTCACTGTGCCTGGTAGAAACCCATCCTTGCCAGTATGTGCTTTTATCCAGAGAGCTAATAAGCTCATCTTTTCTCCATGCTCATCTTCCTATATATTAGTAATGTAAGAAGTATATATAAATGAGAATTTGAACAAGATTCATATGATGGTCGTTTATACGAATTGTTCATACATGGTCAGCTTGTTTGTTTGCAAAACTGTTAGAACCGCATCTATGTAATTGATTTAGAGAGGCCCGTGCTGCTTTACCACATCCTGATAGTGACTGCACTCGTATTCAAAGTCATAATTAAAATAAATTAGTCGTACTAAATTAGATTAAAACTTATTCGATGTATTCCACAACAATAGACATGTAATAGTTAATCAAATAACAAGACAGAGAATTGAAAACTTGCACTATTCTGTTTTGTTATATAACTAATTAAAAGTATGACGTCTAATATCGCATATTTATTATCTAACAGATTTTAATGAAAATGGTCAGCATTTGATACATGACTGAAAATAATTAGCATTCTTCAATACAATTAAGGACATACATTTATGCCAAACAACCAGAGTTAATACTATATGAGTGCTATGTTAAATTACTATCAGAGTTGCAATCTGAGAAGTTAGGCGAGAATTTTAATTTTACTATGTAATTTTCATTAAGACCAAAATTAACTATAGTTAGAAAGCAAGATGTCTGATATCTCAATAGGAAGAAATGTACTTACTATTCCTTTCTCTGAATCCCAATACTTAAGTAGCTTTATCCAATTTTGACTACTAATCCCATGTGGCGGCGTCCCGCTACACATCTCTTCTAAACTTTTCTCTGTTGGTTTGTAGTAATCCTTCTTAATTTTAAACTTATATTGCCTCCAACTTTTATTAACACGCATGAGGGATGCTTTGTCATATAGCTCACCTTTGGAATCACAAAGCGATCCTTATACATGAATAACAAGTAATTTAAGTAAGAGTATTTATAGGTTAGTAAAAATAAATAAATTCTTGAATAAAAAAGTAGTTTCTCATGACAAGTAATAGAAAAAAGGTGATACCTACTCTCATCTCAAGAATTATCTTCTTTTTAAAATGCCCATCAACAGCATGCCAGTCCTCTTCTCCAAGTGGACAATATGTCTCTATCGTTGCAATGTTACCAAGAAAATGGATCAAAATATGTCCACCTTTTCGAATGGGCTGGTACAGGTCATTGAATTCAACATAGAATTTGACACCGTTATTACTCTAAACATCAATAGGCTGAATAGAACCACTCAAGTATACAATGTTACCATTAGCATCTGCACAAAAGCAAGAGACTTAAAAATTAAATAAAACTGCAAATTTAATTGAATGAAACATCAAAACTATCAACCAAAATTGAGGTCAATAATATATTCATTAATACGTCAAAACTATCAACCAAAAAAAGAAAATAGAATTAAGAATATGAAGAAAAAAACATCAAAAAGAAAACATACCCATGGTCAAAAACTCTTCTTTGTCATCAAAATCATCTACATTCATAGGCCAATCAGGTTGTGACTTTGTTCGTAGAGACTTCACTAGTTTTGAGCTTTTTTTTGTTTCATCACAATTCTTTTCCTCTGTTTGAATATTTTGAGAATCTTATGATTTTGTTTCATTATGAACATATTCTTTTCTTCTTTTCTCATTTGAATTGAGTATGTTTAAGGAGGGCTAATCAGAATTTGCAGAGGATGTAGAAGGATATTTGAGTGAATTTGATGTAATAGAAGGTAGGATGTTAGGTAAGCTCATGGATGAAATTGTAGGTGGGTTTTCTTTATCATAACCTGATTGTTTTTCAGCCACCTTTTGAGAACTTAAAGCTGGAGCCTTAAGATTGCCAGGTGCCTTAGGTAAGGTTGATGATGCTGGTACCTTAAGTGAAGGTGCTTTATTTGAGTTGTTAGTTGATGCTGGTGCTTTTGGTGAACTTGATGATGATCCAGTTGGTGGGTTTTTCCATATAGCTCCAGCTTTGTTATCTTTCATAGGATTTTGTGCATTTGTTAATGTGTAAGTTGGTGGTAAAACCTTTGTTATAATGGCAATTGGTGGAGAAAACGGTCCCCATTTAACAGTCGTTGTTGGGACTTGGGACGTTGTTCGCTCATTAGCTTGTTTTTTGGTTGGTTGTGATGCATCTCCACTCATATATGCACGGGGGGGGGGGGGGGGGGTGGGAGGCAATAGATGTAGCCCTTTCTCTTTTCACCCGATAAGTCATCACCTACATGACCACATTATAATAGTTAGTAAGTGCAGATTAAGTTGACCTCTTATGTGTCAGTAATATTTAAAAAAAGGTTGTCGATAGCAAGATCAAAGGCATATCAAGCGAGTATGGCAGCATTAATTTACAAGCTATAGATAAGAATTTGGCTTACGTAGAGACCATTAAATCCCTTATAAAAAAAACATTCACAAATCAAAATGAATAGATTTTTAGAGCACAAATTCAAAAGCAAATATCAAACTCATATGATCAATTGTATGATGTAAACTAAAGAATCAAATACAATGTTATTCTAAAATCTCTTCATCATTAGGTATATCAAACAAGTCCTTAGGCTTAGTCTTAATGACATGAAGCCATCCTTTTTTAATCTCATCTTCAATGTAAAAAACTTGCTTGGCTTGAGATGAGAAAATAAATGGATCATCATGTAAATTTCGACCAGTGTGCATCAACTTTGAAAAATTAACACACACACCACCATTTAGGTATGTTTTGACACCTCTATGTACATCAACCCATTCACAACAAAACATTATAGCCTTGAAAGAACCATAATAGTCAAATTCCAAAATTTCTTTGAGCTTTCCATAATACTCTTGGCCTTCAGCTTCTACCATGATTCCAGAATTTTGAGTCTTTCGAAATCTCTCACGATCCATAGTATCAAATTTGAAACCATTGATCACCACACTTTTCATCCATTTTACCCAGTTACTTAAACCACCAGCTAAGGACTTTCTCAATTTTCCTTCTGATGTGCTATCATCTAGATTATGGACCTATAATTAAAAAAAAAAAGTTACACATTGATTGGTTATAAAATAAATAAGACAAGTTTTCATCGTTTTAAAGCATAAAACTTGGCTTTGCAACCAATCAGCTAACTCATTGATTATCCACTGGCTTTCAATACTCTTATTCGATTGCCTTCTTCTGACTTGATTCTCTTGTTGCCATTTTTGTTCTATGAACTCACTTTTCAAAGTGAAAAATTGTGTTATTATGTCGTTAAAAGTGATTATACTCTAAAATTACTTATAATACTACTTACTTTAGTACTGGTTTAATCTCATCTGAATGAAGCAAAACATAACGATGCGCTTGCTTTAAACTTTTGACATCAATACGAACATTATCTTTCTTCCCAAGTACACGACCGCCATAATTGAATTAATAAGTATAAATGTTTAGAACACCATCCTCATTCCTTTTTGGTCTGCTAAATATCGTCTCAACACTTTCTAAATATCTTGAGCAAAATGTAATTGTCTCCCATAACAGGTACCCTTATGCTATAGATCCTTCAGGTTGTGCTTTATTGCTTACATGAGATTTCAAAAAGGCTAAATACCTTAAAAACAAAGATTATATATGTTAATGTATATTTAAAAACAAAATATGTGTTAAGTATGCTTATATAAGGAAAAATATTGAGATATTTAGATATAAACCTTTCAATGGGATACATCCATCTATAATGAACTGGTCCGCCGAGTTTTACCTCGTCCACCAGATGAATGAGCAAATGAACCATGATGGTGAAAAATGTTGATAGAAACTCTATCTCCATTCTACAAAGAGTTAACACAAGCTTTTTCTGAATGGAATCTAGTTCTTCTATATCAATAGCGGGTGAACATATCTTCTTGAAAAAGTATGACAACTCCTCAAGCAAGTCAATAACTTTTGTGGCATTTGATGCTCTTAAAGCAACTGGAAGAATATCTTGCATAAGGATATGGTTGTCATGACTTTTCAAATTAATAAGTTTTCGCTGCTTCAAATTGACACATCTTTGTAAATTAGACCCATATCCATCAGGAACTTTAAGTTTTTTTAACACTCTTAGAAATTGTTCCTTCTCTTCATTAGACATGGTGTATGCAGCTGGAGGCATATATTTTTGAGCCCGATTAGGATGAGGTTGAAGCCAAAGATGAGGTTTTATTTTTTCCGTCTCAAGAGACTTTCTAACTTCTGGATCATCTCTGCTTTTATCCACATCTAATAGAGTTCATAATAGATTGTCACACACATTCTTCTCAATGTGCATTACATCTAAACTATGTCTAAGAAGATTATGTTCCCAATATTCCAATTCAAAAAGTGCACTTTGCTTCCGCCATATAACATCATCAATATCAGCTTGATAATCATCAATATCTGTTGTACCTCTGTTTTTCCTTTTCTTAGAAGCTTTTTTCGAGGTTCCATAAACATACTTAACCTTTTCTTGCTGCTTCAAAACATGGGTCCCACTTAAAGGAATTGGAGCAAGACCGTACTCTTCTTTCCCATCAAATAATTGAGCTTCGCGTCCATAAGGATGATCAATTGGCAACCATTTTCGATGTCCAGAAAAGACAATTTTACCACCAAATCTATAAGAATAAGTAGAATCGGCACAAGAAGGTCAAGCTTTATAACATTTGGTACTCCAACCCGACAACATAGCATATGCTGGGAAGTCATTTATTGTGGAGTGTAAGGCCGCTCGCATGTTAAAGGATTTTCCACTGTAAACATCAAAAGCATTTACACCTTTCCACAACAATTTCAACTCATGGATTAATGGTTGCAAGTACACATCAATATCAATACCAGGACCATATTTACCTGGAATAATCAAGGATAAAATGAAAGATGATGACTTCATGCAGATCCATGATGGAAGATTATAAGGAATTAAAACCACTAGCCATGTACTATAATTAGTATTCATTAGACGATATGGATTAAAACCATCACTAGCTAATCCCAATCTAACACTACGAGGGTCGGCGGAAAATTCCTTATATTTTTCATCAAACTTTTTCCAAGCAACACCATCTGCAGAGTGCCTTAGGATCTTGTCATCCATGCGGTTAAAATGCCATCTCATGTCTTCTGCTGTTTTAGAAGACATGTAAAGCCTCTTTAGTCTAGGTATGAGAGGAAAATATCGCATAACTTTAGCTGGCTCACCTTTCTTAACTGATTCATTCCCTTTCTCAATTGTGTCACCCTCATTCCCTTTCATAGTTTTCCACCTTGATGTATGACAAATATGACACTCAATTTAATTGGCAAATTCCCCCCAATATAACATGCAATCATTTGGACATGCATGGATTTTTTCATATCCCAATCCCAAGTCTTTGATTATCTTCATCCCTTCATAGTAAGATGATGAAAACTCTTTGATGTGAGAGAATGCATCATTTATAAGTTCAATCAATTTATTAAATGACTCGGCAGCCAATGAAACATACACTTAAGGTGAAACAGATGTAAGAGAAATGATAACTTTGAGAAAGTAGTACAACCCTCATATAGACCCTTGTTAGAAGCTTCCATGAGACGTTTATACTTTTCCACTTCTTCATTAGTGTTAGTTGAAGGAATTTCTTCCTCTACCTCACAATGAAAGTCAAACTCTTCATGCATGTCATATGAACCTTCCTCGTCAAAATTCATTTCATTTGATGATAGGGCTTGGAATTCATTAGTGGATTGTGGACTGTGAACCCCAAAAGCCGCTCTTAGTAGCCCATCCATATCATCTTGATATACTTCCTTCCCATGATCACTAGGGGTCTTTAAGGTGTTACTCCCTTCTCCCTCACAATGGAAAATCCAGTTTCTATAATTCTTATAAAAACCGTAAAATAAAATGTGACCTCCTACTTCTTCTAAAAGATTCCATTTATTTAACTTGCACTTATTACATGGGCATTTAGTTTTTCCATCTTTAAGAGTCTCCTTAGCAATCTTTAAGAATTTCATGCAACCCTCATAATAGGCAGATTTGCCTTTTGGTAAATCAATCCAACTAGTATCCATATCTACAATGAAATGTATAATAAAATTTAATATTTAATAATTATTAATGAGTATCAATAATGCCATCAACAGTTTGGTATCAAATAATATAAACGTTACAATTAAGAAGAGTATAACAATATATTCCATCACTTCGTTGATTTTTAGCCCGGTTAGTAACTACTTTACCAAAGTTTCCCCTTTTATATGATATGATGTTATCAATGAGGTTGAGACAAAAGGAAAATAATGATCAAACATAATAATACATGGCAGCATTCACAAAAAAATAGATACAAACATGTGATAATGTAATATAATCAATAAGCATAGAGATAAGACATAATAAATTATATAAATATACTACCTCACTACAAATCTACACATTAATTACTTACATTTTTCATATATGATCAATAACATAAATTATGTACAACTATTTTGGGGGGGGGGGGGGGGGGGGGGGGGGCTATGTACCCTACATATGACACGAAATTATAATATGCAATTATCTGACATATTAAATAATTTGAGAATTTGGATAGTTACCTCGGCCAACTCACTAAGTGCTGCAACTATCACAACCTAGAAAATTTTTGAGACAAGCTCCTCCTGTGTCACCTATTAAGCACAAAAACACAAATTCAAATTTTAAGATATATCCTAAATATTAGCCTATTGGCTTGAGATTTATGTATACATTATACATAAGTCAAAATTGTACAACTTTTAGTAATCTACTTGTACACATTTGGCCAGCATTCTCAACATAAACATGTTTGATTAGGAACTTCAATGTTAACGAGCTAAGAAGACCAAGAGTATATGTTTCTCAAGAGTCCAGACAACATGTTTAAATAAAGAGTCGTTTTTTGTGCTATATAAAATTTGATTGCATAAGAATATATGTCCTTTTTATTCATAATATGATGCTTTGTTTTTAATATATTATATCATACTTTACCATATAGAATTTCCACAAGGAGCAATCAACAAAAACAAAAAATTGTAGATATATTATAACCTGATGCCTTTTTTTTAACATATTTTGCTTCAGATTAGAAAATCATTTATAGTTGTTAGGATTATAAGTAGGTATATATATACAATAGTGGCTTAATTTCATTTTCATATTTTAAAAGTTAAACAAAGACAATGTACATTTAAGGATTTAAAAACAGAAAACTAGAAGACTAATTTGTTTTGCAAACTCATTTTTTTTATCACAAATTATAACAGTTCATATTCAACTGCCTATTCATGAGCTACAAACTTAGCTCTGAAACTGAAACATCTTTTGGGAGAATTGTATGATGATCAGGTTAAAATTAAAGAATATCAACAAAAATGTAAACCTTGTCATATGATAAACAGAGTGGTAATTTATCTCTCCATAAAAAAAATTAAAATTTTAACCCACAAACCCCAAAAAAAAAAAATCAAAATTTCACAAAATTATCACAAAAACTCAACAATTCAATAAACATAATCAAGTAAAACAAATACCAATCAAAAATAAAAAGTATTATAAAAGAAGTATCTAATTAATTAGACCCTAACCTGTGATATATATTCTTGACTTCTCTGCATCCACCGTTTCGAAATTCCGTTATCAAGATGAATTCCCAGAACATGCAATGAATAAACAAAGAAAATTTTGATAAAATATCAGCATAAGCAACCTAATTTGAGTGATATATCAACCAAAAACTACGAAATTGATGCCTATAACAAAAAGATTAGGGAAAATTGATGACAAGAGCAAGGGGATTACCGAAAATTGAAGATAATACTGAAGAGAGGAACAAAAATTCAACAATTGCAAGTGTTTTAGCAGATCATATGAGAGCGTATAAGCATAGAAAGAGTTAGGGTTTAGCTGTGTGAGGATTGCTGATGAGAACAAAAGGCTTTTTTTTTTTTTTTTTTTTTTTTTATTTCTTCAGTTTATCATTTTGGTATACTGTAGAATTGTGGGCTGTTTTCCTTTCTTTTCTTTTTTTTAATTTTTTTATGTAGCCCGCTTACTTTTTCCCTAAAAATTTTGAAGTTCCGTGATGGATTATAGTCACGTGCAGTACGACATGTTAATTTGTGATGCTTTTCTGTGTCAAGACCCTATTGTGACGTAGAAAAGCGTCCAAAAAGCACGGAAACTAAATTTTATGCTAACGCTTGTTACCTAGCGTCGAGTAAACAGCTTCTAGAAACTAAGGGGTTTGTAGTAGTGAATTAATAATCTTGTTTAGGGTTAATTTGATTATAATTCAAGTGATCGCCAATAATAGATTTGTTTGTGCATTAATATTCAACCAACATAGATTAAACGAGGTTAGGGTTAACCTATTGATTGCATGTTAGTCATAAAGCGCATATGTATACGAGTAGAATAAAGTAGAGGCCTATTTTATAGGGCGAGTTCTTTCTCTTTTAGATTGGATTCGTACCCTCATCCTCGAACACCAGTCATGGTTCCAGACCTATTGGAGTTGACGATCTCATTGATCGTTAAGGTGTGTAACCTTCACCTTGTGAACGGTTTACAAGTTCCTAAAACTTGTTGGCGACTCTTTTGCTCTAGCTTCCTTCCCTTTGGACGCCACCATGCTTAAGTGTATAATCACAGTGGGGTTTAAGTTTGGGGTAATTCTTGAAATATTCCCTACAACTGGGTTGTAGACAAAACTTCTACGGGATGCTGGCGTTGTTGACCTTTGTCGAGCCTTTGCGGATGCGTTGAGTCTGTTTCATGGAACGGTTGGGTCTGAAATTTTGAGTAATCCTAGTGAGGTCACTACTCCTAAACTAATGAAGAAATTGGCTCATATATACTTCACGAAGGTTACTGCTTCTGCGGAATTCACCTTCTCTTTATCTCCTCGACAATCAGCATTATGGAAATCGCAACTGGGATATTACACCTCCGCTTGGTTTTAAGTGGTTCTTATTTTAGGGTTAGGTCAAACTATGAATGCAAAGACTTACCAATGTGTGTTATTGTAGACACCTAAAAATGTCTCCCCAAAACCAAACCCGATGATGAATTACCTTTCACCGCCATTATTGGTCGGGCTGAGTATTTAATCTTGGAGTGCTTAAATCCATATTTCCATTTCATAAACCAATCCAATTCCTATCCCATTTCCCCAAACCATAACTTATTTTCCTCTTTTCGTGCCTTTAAACCCAAAATAATTCATTTCGTATCCTTTAAAATCATTCATTTTGTGTCCTTTTTATAAAAATGTTTAGTTAGTTTATTTTGGTCCATTATCTGGGTTCAATGATTAAATATTTGGATGGGGATTTAAAAGATCTTTCCAACGATACATTATAAGCCAAAATCGGAGTTATAAAAAATAAGTTATGGCCAAAATATTAAATTGAGCCCAAACCAAACCTAAGCCTACCTTACCTACGACCCAATGATCATGTGGAGGGTCCAAATTATTTAATCCCATTCCTAAATCAATTAGGATTAATTAGAAGCTTCTATAAGTTTCTAAAAGATCTTGATTATCCTTTTTGAAAAGATAAGATTAAATAGTTTGAACTTGAATAAAACTCCTCCTTTTGAAAGTCCTAATTCTATTCGAATTGAAAGACATTCAAAGATAGTCAGATATTATTTTCTTGCCTCATATTATTTATATAAATTTTATATGGTTGGATAACCCTTGAAATTATCTTTCCAATGATATATTATGATATCAATTCTGAGCTATAACGAAAAAGATATGAATAAAATGTCAAACTCTATCCAAAACTGACACCGTCTCACTATTTCGGCCATATCTTTTATTTTACAAAGTATTTTAATCTGATTTTGATTGGTTTAGAAATTAGACTTCAAGAGATTTCTAAAGATATCTTATTTATCTTATTCCGATTTTTGGATCAAAAGATATGATAAAAACAAAAACCGCAATCCGATTTAATTCGGATCTTATCTTGTTTTTCAACCCTTCTTTTTTTTCTCTATAAATAGAGGTCATATCTCCCCTTTTTTCAATCATTAACAAGCTTGATCATCAAATAATTCTCTTCTCCCTTTTTAGCCTAAATACTAGCCATCCTATACTCTCAAAATACTTCCCTTAAGCACTCCAAGGAGTTCATACTTAACCCGAAGTTCCGTCCTTAAACCAAGGTGTGAAAGGTATAATTGACTGAGGGTTTGGACCAAATTAACCATACGTTTATTTATTTTAATTGTTTCAATTTGATTTATATTTTTATTGAAGTTACAAACAGTTTATTCATGATATAGCAATTCAAGGAAACGCGAAAAGTGATTAATTCACTTAAATACTCTTATTTTTATACTGCTAGTATCATGATTAGGGTTATTATTATTATTTGATTTGAATAATGATATTATTGTTGAATTGCTTCCAAAATTAATCTTTATTCTATTATTATTTATTGATCACCATATTGCATGTTTAAAGGGAATATGTAATTGAAAATCACGCCTAATAAGATAATTTGGAGAACCGGTTTAGGTTCCTTTTTGATCTTGTTATTTAATTCAAGTGATCACAAATATTTTAGAATTATATGGTGCATTAATATTCAACCAATTTAGCTTAATAATAGTTTGGAGCAAATTGAATCTTTGTTTGTATGCCTTGGAGATCGCAGGAATCACTTTTCACTATAAGATTCGAGTAGAGGCCAATACGGGCGGATGTGACTCCATGGCTCACTTCGTATCATCATCCCCGATCCTCCTTTCGTGGTTCCGAACCATATGGAGTTAGTAATCTCATGGATTATGAATGAGGTGTAACCTTCACAGGTCAATCGTTGTTGCCTTTCGTTGTCCCCTAATCGTGGTTGGCTTTTATGATCCGTGAACGGTTTACAAGTTCCTTAAAAACTTGTTGGCGGCTCCCTACTTTCCTTGTCCCTAATCGTATATGTCAATTCCCACTTCCTATGAGTGTCAAGCATATTCACACATGCTTAAAGTAGGCGCACTTCGAACGACGCCTACAATTTGGCGACACCACTGGGGAGGATTCTTGATTATTTATCGATTTGAGTGATCGATAATTAATTAAGATGAGTGGATGAGACTTGAAAGATTCTTGAATTGTATTCCTGCAATTTAATTGGCATTGTCACATGCATATGCATTTTAGATTACCTATTTTGCCACAATAGTACGTGTTCTACGTATGTGGCTAGCCCGGGGGATTTAAGCTCTATCAACCCAAAAACGCTCATGGCAATAAGGGTTCACCCGAGTTCTTAAATCCACCCAAACCATGGAGTCGAGTTCGATTTCATCACGAACTCGCGGAGCCGCCTGTTGGCATACACCCTCAAGGGAGGCTGTCTTGTTAACGCATCCAAACTCTTAACCATGGTACTCTTTGACACCCTTTTAAGCTTGACCATAGTAAAACATAGATTTTGACTTTAGGTTGCGAACTTCATTGCATCATTCGTGACAATGTGCTTATATGTGCGTTTTTTGACTTTATATTTATTTATTTATTTGTTTTCTCTTATCAAACCCTTTTTTTATTATTAGAGTCGAGCCATAGATTTTTTTTTAATTTTTGAGTCACCCGGATTTTTATTCCCGTATACAGCACAAGAGTCAACTTATTTTGGTCATATATAGAGTTCTAGAAAGAGTTACTTGTCGTGCATGGATCTGTAGCCCCGAGTTTTATCTTTCATTTGGTATTGGTTTCGTCCCAATCAGAGTCACAGATCAAAAGTTATAACCGATATACTACAGCTTGTCCAGTTTAGGTGTCTTTTTAGCTAGCATTACCTTTTTTTTTAAAAAAAAAATAATAAAAATTTGTGTCAAGCTAGTCTTAGCCAAGTCCTTTAATCTGTGTCAACTCAAATAACATAGGATTATAGATTTTTATTTATTTATTTTTTATACCCATGAGTCATAACTCTTCTAGAATTCTAGTCATCTTCCTAGTTTCTTGTGATCAATTTTTGTGCTAACCTTAACATGTGTTCTTTGTCTTTGATTATGGTTGATCATATTTATGACAAACGATTTCCAATGGACCATTTTCACCTAGTTAATAGCATAAACATTAAAATTTGACAAAATTAATCAAGTTAGTTTGTCTTTTAGTCTTCTGTGCTATTTGGTCATCATTGGGTCCTTTGTTTTTCACAACATCCTCATGTCTAGCCATGCGATCATACCACGAATCTTAATAAACTCACCTAATCACACATGTTGAGTCGTTACACACACTTTTTCTTCGAGTAATGCACTATATTGTTCATGATCGTATACTAGGACCATGCATGCGTCGTTTTCCATCGTAATAGGAATGGGTGGAGTATTCCCCATTGGTTTTCAAAATTATTTCATACACTCTTCCTTTCTAATCCGAGTATTGAGTCAATGCATTAAGTGAGCTCATTTTGTTCCATAGTACTCGAGTTCAAGAATCACTAGGAAAGAGTTGGAAGAATAAGGGGAACGTCATTCCTTCCTTCTTTTCTTCCAATCAAAGCATCAGCAATAACAAACTTCTTATTCCTCTTGGCGGTAACCAGTAATTCATAAGCAACCATGAAGACGAAGTACAAGACAAGTTTCCATACATGATTTCATGCCTTTTTTTCTTTCGTTTTAACCATTTTCCCCTAATAAGTCTAGCATAGGCTCTCCTTATCCTTATGTCTATATGCCATGTTCCATCAATGATCATTTCTTTCCTTTGCATTCGATCATGTCATTCGCCAAAAAAAAAAAATCAATTACCGAACTAAGCACAAGGTACACCAATGACTTGAGGCACCTTTGCAACCCTATCATTTCCTGTTAACCGTTCAATCACATTCCATTTCTTCATCAACCACTTTGAGCCCCGTCTAACGTTTGGCCTTCATTTCTTCAACCCACATTCACTTAACCCTAGGATGGGAAGGTGTGTAATTTGTAAGCAAGTTCAAAAAAAAAAAAAAAAAAAAAGTCTAAAGGCAAGTGTTCCAATG